TCGCCAACGCGCAGATACAGAACGGTTAAAAGGCAAACTGGAGCAGGCGCTATACTATTCCGAAAGCCCGCTAAACCCGTTAACGTTGCAACTTCCGGCGGTGTTGCAAGGTACACTGATGGCCGCGGCTGTACAGCTAAGTAGGGAGTTATTGACGTTCTCCAACCCAATCGCTCAGAGTGTTGCTCCAAGCGTGGATCTTCGGATAGCACTAAAGGATCGCACCGCAAAGCTTACCTTGCTGATCAGATTCATCGCGAGGTGCGGCCATATGGAGAAACTTGCTCAGACTACCAAACGTCAGCTCCGAAGCGATGCAGAGCTATCCGTTGCCCTATCTGAACTCTGGGTGTATCAGAATGAATTCTACTCGCAGTCGCAGGGACGAAGTGCACTTGCGAGGGCGATCGAAGCAGTGATGCAGGAGCAGGGGTTGACGTCGGGCGGGGAAGATGTGGTTAGGTTGTTTTTTAGACATCACGCAGATTTGACTCCAAGGGTGCTGGAGAGATTGTGGAGGCAGAGTAAGGGGGTTGTAGCGCAGGAGTTGGGAGGGAGAAGTAGAGGGGTGGTAGAGTTGAATAGAGTTGTGATTGGGGCTTTCAGATCTGCCTTGCGCTACCGAAAGGAATGTGGAGGGTGGTATGGGATTGTAGAGCGTGACGGAGGGGTCTTTGAGGGATGGACTGCGCAAATGACCAGCGTTCAACTGCTCGAATCTCTGTTCTCCATCACCAGCAACGTTATCCCTGATCGAACGAGAGAACTCGGCTCAAGCATCGATTTTACCATCCTCGCCAGCAGCGGTGGGGGTGAGAATGAAGAACAACGCATTCAAACCGAGCTCAAATCCCACCTTTGCTCTCTGGCAGAGATCGCACTTTCATCCTATTCCGAGCGGCTATCGTATCTCTCCTCCGCCGCAGCTGCTAGTTCGGGTCAGGGAGGAGGTGGTGGTGGAGGAGATAGTGCGTTAGAAAGAGAACTTTCGGTTTTCTCCACAACCTATCGTTCCGCACGACCTCGATTCATCCTCCCGCTAGTTTCCATCGGACGATCAGATCAAGCGTTTTCCCTAGCAGAAGAGTATTGCGATTTTCGAACGCTAGTCGAACTGTCCACCACGGCCAACCTGTACTCTGCTTCTCGACTGGATTCTTATCTGGAACGCTATCGCGAATCTTTCGCCTACGAGCTGTACAATTTCTACCTCGAATCCGACCAACCTAAACTCTTGCTCAGCCAGAAAGCAGAATATAGCTCGTTGGTGCTGTCATACCTTGATCAGACACAGAATCTTCGATTGGGCTGGCTTCATGATCTAGCGCTGGAGAAATACGACGATGCGAGTGGGAAACTAGAGAGTTTGGCAGTGGGGGAAGAGATGTTGGGACAGAGAAAATTGATGTTGAGTCTGAGCAAGCTAGGGTTTTTATCGGGTTGTACAGTGCAGGAGTTGACCAAGGAAGGTACGCAGAGAAGGATTGAGGTTTGGGATGATTGGTTGGATTTGGTCGCTGTTCAGGAGAGTATGGTTGCGCTTTGGGGGAACTCTATCGGGTCTTTGCCTATTGAACTTCCCAACGCAGGGACTGCTGCGGGGGAACAACTCGCTTCTGAAATCACCGACACGGTTGCAACTCGTCTAACCGAATACCCTACTTATAGGCGACACTACATGCATCTAGTCGAAAAACTACTTGTTCAGGCAAAGTATCTCAACTCGGAAGACTTGGTCGATCTATTGACGCTCAAAGACACCCCTCCGACGCAGCTAGAAGATTTCGCAACGGCTATAAAAGTCCTCATCCGCGCCAAAGACGTTCCTGTACAACGCCTCAATTCTTCCCTACGTGCAGTCTGGAGAAGAGCCGTGATCAGGGACGATTGGATAGCCTTGAGCGAAACAGGTGGCGTCAGCGATGAAATGGTTATGGCTGATCTCAAAGCCACTGCACTCTACGCGGTCCTGAGGGAGGTGCTGGGTGAGGAAGGGAATAGAGCTGCTTATATGGATTTACAGGAATTGGTAAAGGATGACGGGGGAGAAGGTGGGGAGAGGGGGTTATTGGAGGCAAGATTTGATGGGGCATCGGATGAGTTCATCTCGAACTTGATGGAGGATTGGCAGAAAGAGAGGGTTACGGTGAGGGCCTTTTTGGATGATTCGGATTTGCCGCGGTTGGTTGGGGAATTGGCGGCAGTGGCGGCTGTAGAGGGGGAAGGGCAAGAGGGGGAGGTGACGATGCGGGAAATGGGGAATGAGGTGGATGGTGAGGGGGATGGTGAGGATGGTATGCTGATCGAATAAGCGCAATCAGGCGTGATCGAGTATAGGTAGAATAGAATCCCGCGTAGAATGAGGCGAGAAATTACAACATCAGATTGCACGAAACCTTTGACTGCGACAGCAGTCTTTGGAAGTACAGAGCCTTGAAAGCCGAATGTCGAGTCGGAACCGAGGGAGCAGCTGATGAGGATTCACTTGGGAAACTTTTCTGCAGCTAGTTGTATATAGCCTTCCAGTTCGTTATGCCATTTTTCGACGTGTTCACTTTCTTTCACGCCTCGGATACCATCGGCATTAGCTGGTCGTCCTGTATACAGTTGAGTTTCAGAAAGGTTAGCAATAGTCATCGTTAATCGTAGCTTGGAATCGACGTGGAAGATCGTGTCTAGACTAACCAAACTCATCTAAGTACCCTTTCTGGAAACCTTCTTGGTAGTGTTCCTGAAGCTTAGCAAATTTTTCATTCGGTATATGGGCTTTCAACGAATTCAAGACGTTGTCATCATGTAAGGGAGAAGGTTGAGATGTTTTTTTGAATCTGGAGAAGAGGTTGAACTTGCTACCGCTGCTTCTGGAGCTACTTGCTTCACCTCCTCCTCCTCCTCCTCCTCCTCCTCCTCCTGCTTCCGCTGCATGGGATAGCAGCAAGAGGCTGATTGTTAGCAGGAGTACTACTGAGAAGCGAGTTATGCGCATCGCTGGTCTTGAGGACAAATGGAAAGGGACCTAGTTTGGCGAGACGAGTGCGGATGTTGCCAAATTGGTATGGGAGTCTCGAGTGGATGGTGTGCTTGATTGGTGGAGATGATGAAGTGGAAGAATGTTGCAAAGGTAGTGGATGGAGGGAGGCAGCACCTTGCTCACCTTAAAGAGAGAGAGAAAGGGTGAATTATTTATGCGACTCTTTGCAACGGTTGCTTGCTTCAATCCTCCGATCATACACTTTTGCATGAAGAGCTTGCCAAAGGACCAAGTGGAAGAATGGCGCAGGGTTGCTTGACGGAGCATTTCGGTCTCTCCATAGGGCTGCACAATGGCGTTCTGAGGGCGTGCAGTAAGCTGCCTCGGTGAAAAGTGCGATTGTTGAAGAATGAGAAAGAAAAACCATGTCGGGATTGAGGAAACAGGCAAAGAGCAGAGGCTGCTATTGTTGTGCACAGTAGCAAGGCAAAGGGGGAACATGTGACGCCGGCGTCCTTTTTTTCATATCGGAGCTAGCCATTGTCGACGCTCGCAAGCGTTGCTAAAAGCAGCACGGGCGCATCGAGCAAAAGCATTCAAGGTGCCCTTCCCGTGGGACTCGGCCCACTTCTGTCAGCTCGTCCCTTGTCAGCGAGATGCGAGCCTGGCAAAGATCATGAAAATTTTGCGCTGGCTTTTGTTCAAGGCATCGGCTTGGTAGACAACATCCGACTAAAGCCTGTCAACTTAATCAGCAGGTCACATCACAGAACTCAAAGCCTTTGTGATCTCTCCGCTGTGTACGAGGCACTTGGTCAGGTTCTTGAGCTGACAATCCTCTTCTCTCTTGAACCGACTGCGGATATCGGCGAACTGATCCGAAGCTCGAATGCCACTCATCCATGGGAACGGTAGCAAATGCTGGTTGCAGCTCATGTGGGTATGTGAACGGACGGATGCAGTCATTTGCTTGGCGGCAACTTCATCAGCGCCAACGGCGATCGATGGCCATCAGTTCGTCCCGTACGTAGTTGCCGGCGACTTTCCTGTGAGCAGTCTGGATCGTCGGGAGGGTCCAGTGCGGTTGAAGGAGCGACAAGGGATTTGCCTGCTGCTGCTGCTGCTGGGCTTCTGTGTTAGGCCCACGACAGCTTGCGGAATACCAAAACCATCAAGGAATGCTTCCAAGAAACGGCTCTCGGACATGGTTCGCAGAGCAAGATGAGATAATTTGCGAAACGGCGCCAAGGAGAAGCGTTTGCTTGTCCGCTTTATGAAGTCGACCCCCCCCCCCCCCCCCAGCCCCACTGGTGCGGTAGCAAGGCATGCATCAGTCGACGGAGCGTTGCTTTCTCACGTTGTCCATCAACGTCGGTCGGCGTAGCCAGCGGGTCCTGTGACCGAGGATGATTTCTCCCACGCCAAGATGACAAGCGCAAGTGTGGCGGCTGAGCGCTGATTTCGGAAGCTGCCAACGGACCAGAGTCGCTTGTGACTACACTGCCAGAGGCGATGTGATCAATGTCTGAAGTACATAAGCATGGCGCCGTTCCGGACAGATCCCTCCTGCCTTGGATTCGTGTCAAGTCAATCGCATTGCTACTCAACCACCACAGGCGTCTCAACTACAACTACGCAGCCCTTGCCAAACTCTCTTTCTCTATCGTCGCTCGTCAAATCGCTCAACATGCCTCCTCGAAAAGCCTCGTGTTGCTTGCTGCTCCTCTTCCTGGCCGTCAGCACGTTTGCAATGCCCATAAAACGAAGGCAAATCCCGCCAGTCAGAGTTGCCGAAGAACTAGCTCCAAAGCCGATCGAGCAATTCAGCCGAGCTTTGGAGACGCTCTTCTCTCCAGCATCGACGGAAGAATCGCATCTTTACCAGACTCCGCCAGCCAAAGTGGTGCCGCTGCGAACTCAAGAAAGCTCGACCAGGCAACAGTTGGACTTGGCATTGCCGCTCACCAATCACAGACGAGTTAGTGATCCTATTGCCAAGTCTTTTTCTGTTTAGCATCTGTCCTTTTTCACTATAATGCAAACGCTGTGATTCGATCTGCCAAGTTAAGCAAGATATCGCCTAGTCAGTACTGCGGTGGGGGGACCACGCGGGAATCCTAGGTGCTGCAGTTCCTTTCAATTGTCTCGTCTTGCTTTCGCAAAGAGATGTTGAAAATAGCAATCCAATATGATGATGTAAGATGACATGAGACGATACGGGAGGGATCGGGCGAAGCCGATCTCATCAGAGATCGGGTACAACATGGTCCCACTCATTGTTAGGCATCGTCGTTAAGGAGGATACACCCACATTCGGCATGTACCATCCAGATGTATATATATCACGCCGGGAGCGCTAGGCTCTCACCATGCTTCTTAGTCAATTGAGTATACATGTTTCTGTCTTAAAGCAGCAGTGACATCGTACTTAGACTCTCCCCGATCGCCAGTTATCGGGACCAAAACGTCTTCACTTTTAACAAGAGATGTTCTTTCGGCCGCCCGAACTGGCTTCGACTTTGTGAAAGACTTTGTGAAAGACGTACGGCGACTGGGCCCAGACTGTCGGGTCGGCAAGCTGGCGAGCATGACATGTAGTTGACGTGTCTTGATTCATCACATGAACTTGGTCCAGAGCAAACATCATGGGCACGGTCGAGACCAAGCGGATGCAACAACATGAGCTCACGATAAACACCACCCTGACAATCACAACACCAAATGTGCACGCCCGCTTTCTTTCACTTCGGAAGTGTCGGGCTGTTTGCACACATTTGCCCAAAGGAGTGCATTGCATGATCAAAAGACAACTGGAGTGATGGGCTTGACTGGACAACGGCTCTACAGATGAGCTGCTTAGATACAACAGAAGCTTTCAACATAGTAGTGGGTGTCAGTTAGTTCTGCCCATTGTCATCACACCGTATGCACAGAGATGAAGGCGTGGGCTAGCAGCAACTCTGTGCATACCATAGCGCATACCTTTCCACATCTGCAGGTGGGACCCTCTTGCATACGGCACCGTCGAGCTCCCAAGATTCTCGTTCGCGATGCTACTAGTCTCGAGCACGCCGTTGTTTTGGCCTAATCATGGCTCGAACAAAAGTGGCTCGGTCTTGAGGCCCAGCGCTGCTGAAGCAACATGCGTTGCGACTTGCTGTCTCGGCTTTTCTTTTGTGCTTTGACGACAACCATTCCACACCGCCTGAAGAAGCTGACCCAAGGCCAAATTGGCAGTAGCAGACTGTCTCAGCTTTTCAGCTCTGTCGAGACTGATCGGAGCCAAGACCTGCTATATATAATCAACGATATTGCCCGCTTTTTTCCCCCTTCTCTTCATCATCAACCACCTCAAGCCTTTGGGACAGCAGAGTTCTTTGACCATGGCTTCCTTCAAATCTCTTCTGCTTGCTTTGATGCTGGCCCTGATGGCCGCATACAACGCTTCGTGCTACATTCTCGCAAACAGCGCAGTCATCTGGACGACTGGCGAAACGTTGGAGCAAGGGACCCAAAGGCTCGAAGACTTGGTTCTAAGGGCCACCAATAATAATGGTGAGTGCGGAGCCTTTTAGGCCACATTTCTGTTATCGTCTCATTTAGCTAACGCACTATCTCTTCCGCCTTTTCATCGCTTCGTCTTCACAGGCGCTGCAGCGGCTCCGTATGGAACCCCACGTTAATTCTTTACCGAGTTGAACTCGGTCGGAAGATTCAGTACGTGCCCGCACAGACGTCAAAGGTGATGATTTCAATCGGCCGTTGAACATACTGAAACATTTTTGATTTACCTCGAATGATGAATCAGATCCAGGGCAGGAAAGTCTCCAAGGTCGAGACTGGAACTCGTGGATTAACGCTTACCTCAACGAACGAAGGCGAAGACTGGTTCGAGAGCAACAGAGCACAGCTCGCAGCGACCGTCCCTCGGGCTGAGTATTGTCCCGTTGACTGTGTCTGGCAGGTCAGCTATCACACTTCAGCCAAATGCGTCACTCCAAGGTGCTCGAATGTTCCGATCACGTTGTAGCGACTGCCTTTAACCGTCTCACGTTAAAGACAAGCCTTGAAAGTCACTTGTTTACCCCAATTGCTGTACCCTCACCCTATGCCGTTTCAATGATACTACCGTTCCTATCCTCACGCACATTACAACGCAGACCTGAGATGCTGTCTTGCTGCCAGAATCTAATCCTTAGTTGAACAGTTGCATAGTCCGGCTTGAGGACAAGCCATACAGCTCATTGGAACGGCAACTTCACAGTGCAACCTGGCGCCGTCTGAGCCCATTGAGCCAACACAAGGCTGCAATTTCGCATGTTTCTCGGCTTCGGTCTTGATTCGGGATAGTACGAATGCAGTTCCCATGGCTGTTCACTTTGTTGTGTATGGTTGCTCTTCACTTGAGTCAGATGCAAACTCAGGCGTACCGAGCTTTCCTCCCACCATGAATCCATCCCATTGCATCATTCAGAGCCCATGTTCCTCGCAGCCTCGGCCCATCTCACTACTGGGATTGACCTTTCAAAAAGAACAAAAGGAAGCATGAAAACCCCTCCGCCGCCATCCCACACATCCATATCGTTGTTTTATCCACGGACAGCCCCTTTACAATGCAACCCTCCTCGGGTGCTCAATGTCAATGCTAGTACATCTTTGATTGGATCTTTTGTACGACGTTGCAATGAAACACCCCACCGTGTTCATCATAGGTACGATAAGAACCCACTCGAGCCAATGTATGACGCATGAGGCCTGCACATTCGAGTCCCATCACCAACCCTATTGGAATGCACCAAGGAGAACGTTCCGATGACGATCGTCCAACGGCCCATTATCTTGGTGAGCAGATCGACCGTCGATTCCCGCCGCAGTGCGTGTGGTACTGAATCTATGGTTGGGTGGGTCAGCAAACTGGAATCGGTATTGTGGGTCACCTTATCCGCTGTGTTTTGTTGGCCGGTATCGGTGCACTGGTGGGAAGGATGGTGTGGTAGCCTTTGCTCGGCGTTTGTCGATTGGCAATCCGTCGCTTCCGAGACACCCAAAAAAGCTCTCCTCGGACGTGCTACTGTAGCAAAGCAGAGGGCTGACAATGCGAAACGACGAGTTCAGCTCACAAGTACCGCCCTACCATCAGGTGTGAAAAGGATCCGAGTTTCGCCCACGATAATTTCCTTTTCCTCATCCAGCCTGCCCCGCTTTCTGTAGGAGGCCTATGCTTGTATCGGCTGGTATCAGGAGAAGATAGGTGCCTGAACTCTATCGCTGCTGGGCCCCTTGCACTGCCTCGTCATGTTTCAGACTTGCCCTTCGCTCCGACATGTTACTGTATCGTCCACAGGGTAGACGTATAAAAGCACCAGACTTAGTTACTTTGTTCCCCATTAGCATCCATCCTTCCGTCTGTCAGTGCATACCGCGTTCATCGTCGTCACACGTAATAGAACCGCGTCCTACCATTCAGGTCTGTCACTCATTCCCACACTTTCCTCCCCCTCTTCCGAAAGCGAAGATGAAGTCCTTCACAGCCCTTCTCTTGACCTTCTCAACCCTACTCCTGGCTATCAATGCTGCGCCGACGACTGATTGGCCCGTATTCGCTAAACTCTCCGACTTCAAGTCCAGACTCCACATCTTCCAAACCTACGCCAATGCAGCGTATCCCAACAAGCGTGAGCAACAGAAAGAAGCCATTGCGACTCTCCAGTATCTTTTCCACAAAGATCACGATTGGACTAAATGAGACCACTTGATTCCACTCTACGACTACCTTGCGAGCGGAGGATTAGTGCAACACCCCACGGATATGTCGTACGTCTCTGTAGCAGAAGCAGTTAGTCACTTAGGTCAGGGTTCAGTGTATCAACAAGAGGCCGTAGTGCGGCCTGCAATGAGTGCTTTGATCGAGCGTCATCTCAAGGGGGCAGAGAAGGCAGGCTTTAAAGCTGAGGACCATTTGCTGGACGAAGTGAGGGGTCTGTCTGATGGGAGGCCATTGAAAACAGGAGGTGCTTTCGCTACTACCCATAGACCGTTGACTTGGGACGAGGCTGAGGAGGTGAAGCGAAAATGGGATGCTGTTGGAGCAAGTAGCAGCGGAGGAGGGAGGATGCATGGTGTGCCTTGGGGCAAGTAGCGTCGTCTAGACCAACCGATCAGGAAGCCCTTGCAAGGCCGAGAGCGTCGGCGCCAAAGACGCCCACGCTTCATATAATTCTCCCACAAAATGTCACAATGCTCGTGCCTCTCTCTTGCTTTCTTACCATCATCTTCGCCATTCAACTCGCCATTGATTGATAGGTGGTCTCCTAGCTATTATAGCGTCACCCACCCTGTACTCCCTTTCTTTGTGTAGCCGCTAACCCGGGCCCCTTCTACGGCGGGTAGTGTGCATCACCACTCTGCCCTCAATCATCCCCGCTCCCCTCAACAGCTGTCATCATCATAGACGATCCCTAATCCCAGTTCGTCCTTCCACAATAGAAAAGAATGCAATTACAAACGTACAAACAAAAGCCAAACCCCAAGCATCCACCATCAACCCTGAATCCGCTTCCTTTTGACATCGATCTTACTCGCATCCCTCCTTCCCTGTTCAAAAGCCACTGCATCCTTCCTATACGTTGACTTTGCTCTTTTCTTCAGCTTCAATTCTCCATGTTGCGAAGCTAAATAATCATCTGCGATCTGTTCTGCATCTTGTCGGAACCGAATCAGTTGGTTGCTTGATTGCCAACCCGCCCCTACTTGTTCCTCTTTGATATCTGGATCGCGTTTGGCAAGGTAGGGCTTGACATCTGGTAGGGAAGATTTCATGTCGAGACTGTCGTCATCGGGGTGATTGGTCAGGTCGATTATGTCTGATTCTAGGGCTTCGTCGAAGGTTGCTTTGATGTCTTCTTCGCAGGGGAAGGGAGGGGTTGGGTGCGAGTCGTAGAACTGATCCTTAGCGTCGTCGGAGGAGGAGGCCGAGGGATGGTCGGTGGATCCCCACTGCGCATAACCGTAGTTTTCGGGTGTTTCTGAGGCAGATCGCTTAAGCCCATTCCCGTTCCGGAAAGGCTTTACATCTTCTTCGTCCGCTACATCTTCCAACTTGGCATTCCTCGATCTTGATACCGTTGGACCAC